AGAAAGTTGTAACTATGACTTGCCAACAGAAAGTCTTCGACAGTGCTGCCGCCCCTTGGCCAATCGGCTGCCCTGTATGCCCCTGCTTAAGATATGCCTTGCTAGGAAGGAAGAGGGCATCAGGCAAATGACTGGATCCCAATCTTACACTCTTGACATCCCATCGACGCCTTGCAAGTTCATGTGTGCCCACTGTGCTGCCCTTGTACCGCAAAGCTTTGGGACCAACCGTAACCGGCAAGCCTGGTACAGTATCTTCACTTCTCGCAGTTTTCGGGCCCAAGCTTTTAGGTGGCCATGGCACCAGACCGAGGGGCTTCTCCTTTGACACATCCGCCGATGGCTCCACCCAAGCGCCACGACTCGACTCAGGCGCCTTTTGCAACTTTAGCTCCTCGAGGTATGGCACGACAAAGGTCCACCTGCGTGAGCCGAGTTCCCCCCAGATGTCCCACCAGGTCCTTGTACGAGGCAAAGGGTCTTCCACCGTTCAGGGTCCCAGTTAGTTGAAAGCCTATGAGTTGGATTGACCCTTACTTGAACCTGTCAGATGCCTCAAGTACACCAACACAGTATTTGCCGTCTTAGGCATTCCACGAAATGATTGGACAAGCTAAGAAACAGAGGGAAAACATCTGCGCCGGAAAACATCACCCCGCTTGGTCTTGTTTGCCCCACGGGCTGTAACCTGGGATCACTTCGGGGGGGCAGTGCCCAAAAACAAAATCGGCGCCGGTAAGCGCTGGGGTCCACTGGAATTTCAACGCTTGGGAAGACCTGGTTCCAAAACAGGTATAGGGTCGACCACGGTGGGGTCATTGATGTGCTTGAACATGCTTAGAGTGCTGGACATGATGAATCTGTTAAGTATAGTCATCATGTTCGCCCTCGCCTGGTCTTCAGATGTTTCGTAGCCTTGTCCTGCCACGTTTAACACAAGAAGGGACTACATGCATTCCTCTTGCATAGACTGACGACATGCAAAAACACGCCGAATCAACCAGTGGGTGTTTGCCAATATGGTACTTCCACGCGTTGGTGTCCGCGCATTTGCGCATGCCGAGGACTCATATGGATATCTCTTGCTGCTGTGGGAAAGTTACTACCAATGCACATCAACTCAAGCTAACAGTTTTCGTTCAACCCAGGTCACTTTGATGTCCGGAAGCATTCAAGCCACTGCTGGCCCCAGCTGCAATGCTACAGCACCCGAGCTTGGAACATGCACCCGAGCTTGAAACGTGTGCAGGCCTCTTCGACCCTCTTCAAGTCGTCCCAAAAGGTGATGACTGCAAACATTCTGATGGAACTCCTTTCTTATGGTAAACATCCTGGTTTCAGGAGACGTTTGGCTAGACTCGTTTCCCCCCATCGACAGGTCGCTAGACCCTGCGCTGCAATGACCCTAAAATGCAAGGAAGTTATTATTTACCCAAAACTACCAATAATGTCCAAAAGGAATCCAGTGGCGATTGATTTGTTGCAAGCTTCCCAACATGATAATCACCAAGCTGGGGCTGGGTGTCTGCGGCCCTAGCTAAACCATTCCAAAGCAACAACATCCGATTCCAAGCGCCCCGCCAAGATGTTTCTGCTTGACATTTCCGGAAGCAAGCGCACGCACTTGTTGGGCAAACCACACATCGCCCCCCATGGCAAAACACACTCCCTGTTGCTCCGGCACAAAATACACACCAACTTAACATGACTGTGCGACGTTTCAACATCGTTGCAATGAGTTGGTTGAAGTCGCCTCTTTGCGGACAACATGTTGAGTTGGCAAGGGCCGATCAGGTTTTCATCAGGGCCCCCGCATCAAGATGGCGATGCCGATGAACATGAGGACCTCTCAACCCAACAGGTCTGGAGCTCCCGAAGAAACACTCCGCAAATCAACGGGTGGTTCCCCTAGAGCAGATTCCTCTGCGGGTGGTGTGCTCTGAATTCATGAAAATCTGAAGACGTGTAGACACCCGGTCTTTTTCAGTCTCTCCTCTAGCAACTCAATGCTGAACTCAAGCAGAAGCATGACGCCTTGCGCACATCCCGTCTGGAATGTACTTGTTGTAAACAAACAACACTATGACCATTGCACCTGCCATATGCAAGCGATACGCTCCGAACTGGAAAACTGTGCCTCCTTGAATATGATTACCTTCATACCGGGCAATGTCCTGCCTGACACAGGATGGCCTTGGGTGGACATAACTCGCCCATAAACAAGGGGTGCGGCTCTATCATTGGCGCTCAGACTCAGTGTTGTTTGTGGGCATGCCATACTTCTCATGCTGCACCTTGCATTTATCTGCGGGGCCTTGTAGACAGAGTCAATCTGTCCCGACGACCTCAGGTTGCACACTTGAGTTGCTGGCCACTTACATCGTCCTCCGCGTACAAGCGTTGAGCGCCAACTTGATAAAGGGACCTTCTCTCAGTTCTTTGCGACTTTGGGCTGTGGGGACTGTGATCTTAAATTTGTCCATGGCCTTGCGCACTTGCTGACAGTTGCAATCAACAGATACCTCTAGTTGCAGGGGTCACAGTTGAATGTCATCATGTCACGCCGCGGTGAGCAGACTGAGAAGCACAGATCATCGGCCTGGCTACCCTCAGTCCCCAAAGGCTTCCGGGACAAACGTGCCAGCATGCAGCAGCCCCGAAGCTCAAAGGCGCCTGGTGCATAGACATGTTTTGCACACATACATGATATTAGGCATCTCTCAGCCTTGTCCTTCTATGTATATATATATATGCATATATATATAACATCACCAAAGCTCAAGGACATTTTTTCCAACAGGTGATGCTCAATTGGCGCCGCTTCAAATCATTGTCTTCCAAGAGGCTCGCGCGCTCTCCGCAGGAGCTCCCGATCCGCTTTGATCTGCTGCGCGGTGCGCTGTCGCAAAGCTCGCATCGCCTTGGCCATTTTCATCATACTACATGAATGAGTGAAGGGAATCAAGCAAGTCGGCACTCGCAGAGTCCGAACTACATCGTCTCCCAAGCTGACATTTGCAGGAACATCAAGTACCACGCAATGTTGCGTAATAGATATTTTGTCCTTATATGTCGTACAATGTATATATCCGTATGTGCATCAATATGCGCCCAGCTTTGCATCCGGGCCTGATTCAAGTTCAGAACTGGGATAACACACATCTATCCCTACTTTGCCCTTTAACTAGTCCCGAATAAAACGGCCCATTTCGATCCCCATTGAGCCAGCACTTGTTGAGTTGAACTGGCTTCTCATGCTTAGAGTATCTTAAAGTAACTGGCAGTGGTCAACAAAGAACAGCATCAATCAAGCACCATTCTGAACAACTGAATGCCAAATGAAAAGCCTTCATAATGCAAATGGCGAAGGGTGGCGAGTGGATCATGCCAACGGCCAGTTGCAACATTTCCTTCATACCTGGCCACTTACCGGTTGATGAGCACCTCCTCTTTTGCAAAATATCCTTGAATAACGGGGTGCTGCCCTGCAACAAGAGTGGCGGAAACAAGCAGAAGGCTACTTCTCAAATGTTGTGGTCTCAGCCCAGTGGTTGGCTTTAAAACCACAACCCAAAGCCCCTGAATGCGCGAAGGCACTCTCATGCTACCGTTGAGGTTGTACGGGGAAATTCTGGATGTTGACCGCAAGGTGCCCCTGTTTCTTCCAGTGAATGAGCCAATTGCTCATAGGCTAATGCCGTTTCTCTGTACTCCACGTCTTTCGTGCTTCACTTTGCTTTCACACCGACCGATTGGCCAGCATTTTCATGCTGGCAGTATAACCGTCCCCGTGTGTATGCCGTATGCTGAACATCACCCAGGATCGTTCACCCCTAGACACAGTAAAGCTTGCTCCGGTACAATAGCGTCAGTACTTGCTCATGAATCGCAACCCAGGATTCGTTCAAATCCCCGGATGAAAAAGGCGTTCAACCCAGTTTTCAAGAAGATCTTGACGGGGGGAAACACCCAAAGACGACCAAAAAACTCTACTTAGATCCGGAGTCGCAATTGAGTTATCAGCTGTTGGCGGGTGACCCGATCATTTCCCCATCCTTGCCCAACTAAGCAAACCCCAGCTGTCCCTACCTGACCCAAATGCAGCCCCGGCGCGCAGCCGTGGCGCAGCCGTGGCGCAGCCGGCCGTCTCACGAGACCGCCATGGGTTGGAATCTGGAGCCCAAGTTCGCAGACCGCACGAGGTCAATCTCTGCGGTTCGCCATGCCACGGGTTATATACTTGAAAGAACCGTCCAACCTGTGGATGGACGAAATCCTGCACCAAATTGAAACCATGGGAAACATTGGGAAACCATTGTTAGTTTGTATTTACGGGGGAATCATCATTCCAGGGTTTGTTAGGTGGTGCAGGATTCGTCCATCCACAGTACTGTGACGGAAAAATATGTATGGCTAGTTAGGCGAGGAGACATCAAGGGCCAAAGCTGGAAGTGTCTCAAATGCGGGATCGCGAAAAAATATGGGTGAATTGTGACAGAAGCTTCCTCATATGTGTGGGGCGCCAAACCCTGCTGTGAAGTATACATGCGTGTCAATAATTGCATTTGCAAGTGTGCCCTGTTGCGTTGCAGACAGGTGCATCTGTACAATATGCCTAGGCTTCGCTAGATTCTACTCTTGATGGACATCCTGCTCAGATAGATTTGCATGTGGACATGTTTTATGATACTAGCACTACATTAAGTATCTCGACAACCAAGCAACCAATCCTGTTGGCTTTTGGCTCCAGCCTTATCAATCCCCGAAACCATGCCATGTGATTGGTCTTCCACTCCGAATGTACTTAGTGGGTATGGAATTCGTAATGGATGCATTGGAAACAAAGTCAAATACATAGACATCCTCGCCATTTGAGCAACTCTCCATTTTGAACAAGGGCACGTGGTCGAAACTTCTTGCGACGATAGTGGTCCCACTAGTACTCCAAGCAGCCACGGCCCTGTGCCAAAGACTCATGATCCGGCTTCACGGGTCCCGGCCTCCTTGCCCAAAGAGGGTCTTGGAAGATAGGCCTCGAAGCAGCTCGCGGGGCAGGAACAAGGCCGCACGCTGATGCCAGGTGCAAAAAGCAGTAGCACCAATGCCATCTAAGACATGACTCCATGTCACAAAACATGTCATGTATCCGTGCTTCATGGGCATGGCTATGCGGGCCATTGTTCTCAAATAATTCCACCTGCATACCCTGTCAGCTAGGACATGTCATCAGAATGAGTATTGCTTTCGCAGATTACACCGTGCTCATGCAAAATCAATATTCGCAAACTAAATTTTGCAATGCGCCAGTATCGTAATTCCAAGTGACCATAGGGTCAAGACATGTCCTTCGTAAGGCTGCCTCAAGTTCTAACGAGTTCCCTTGCTCATGAAAGATCTGACATAATCAATTTCGCAACAGGGTTGTCTTCAAATCAACTGGTCGCTTTCCTGTTGTTTTCCAGGGACAAAAAAAACAACCAAAAGTTTCAAAAATCAATACCCCCTTAATGCTCCCTTTCCACCTCCAAGTGCCTTGTTTTTGACCCTGGCCGCCAAGTTGTTTGCCACAATTTAGACAGTCACTGTAGCTACCACGCAGAACACATTTGTCCGGGGGACAATCAATAAGCAGCAGTGATGGTACATCTGGCTCAGCAGTGGGGATGGGGGACATGGCATCAGGCGTCATCAGGGGAACTGGATTCTTATTCGCACGGTATGTGACTGGTAGAATGCGTTCAACTCAGAAGCACCCATCCAATGTTGGTCGAGTGTCTGCGCTGCCATATATTCAATAACAATGATTCGGCATTGCACACCAAATATTAGACAGGCCGACGAGGGATACAACACAATATCGCTGAAACAATGAGCTTCTAGCAACATCAAACTCCCGTGATGTGACTTTGTACAAGGCGACAAGCACCTGCGCAACAGCAACACTGCTCTCAGTACTGCACTTTGCCTTCCTGTCGAAAGATCCTCCCAGAAAGATCCTACCATGTATTTCCCAACTCCCGCAAAAATCACTCTCGCAACTGCTACAGGTGTAGGGATCCCCACTCAAGCTATACAACACCTAGCAAATAATAGCAAATACTCGATCAATACACAACGAATACAACTCCGAACAGCTAGAATTTTGCTTACTCAAAAATGCCAGTTGGACAATGGTTGAACAGTACCGCAATGGAAGGAGGAGGACGGAACAGGGTCCTGCCCAAAAACATGTGGTGCTTTCCAGAAACTTGCATCATTAGACGGGGAGGAGCGATCTTGCTATCAGGAGAAGGGATTATACTGATCAACATGATTGAAGCCACGAAAAAAACATGTGAGAAACCTGCTCGTGAGCGCAAACCGGCCCAGGGACACTGCTCAAGTTCCTTAGGCGCCTGCCAGCGCTCTCTCCCACAGAAGCTCCCTGGTCGTACAGGACCGGCAACATGCAGTGGGCCGTGACGAATAGGCCCGCACACAATTGAACGAAGGCAAGACACCTAATGTTGGGGGTAGCATCTTGTGTCAGGGATAGTGCTCTTGTGTTGTACGGCTGCTTGAGATGCGTTTGGCGGCCTTGCAAACACGCGAGCTTCGTACCATGCATTCCCTCGTTATCCAGAGGAAGCCAAGGTATCATGTCAGCTCATCCTGGCTTGGGAGGTTTGACTGATGTTTGAAGAGAGCCATTGAACCATGGGCATAGCACAAGTAAAGCCAAGTGAGGCTTTAGGACAGCAACAAATATGTTTTAGCAGGGACAATTGTCCAAGTATTCTGTTGAGGAGCCCTATATCTGCTAAACAAAGTGTCCGTTCACTTCAAAACCCTTTAATTTGTCATACATTTACAGCATGTGCTTAAGAAGGCAACCACCGTCGCACGAAGCAACTTAGTATCTTAAGCTGTATTAAATAGTATTATTGTTCATTAGTGGGGAGGCTCAAACTGGCTGTTGCATGGGGGTGCTGACGGCGCCGGATGTTGACTGACAAGCTTCCTATCTACCAATCAACCAACCACTTCCCTAAGCCTTGCGTTTCAAAGCAGTGACAGTACAAACGTACAAACAAATGTAACTTGCCCATAGGACCGCTTGGGTCTCCGAAACTGCTGCCCGCCTGCTGAAGGCCAGCACCGCTCCACATTGGGCCTCCGTGTCCTCAGGCGTTGCGACTGGGGGTCTGAAGCGAATGGAATTCAGCCACGCGTTGCAGAACACACATACTGCATTTAGGTTTTCCCTGAAATGTTCGGTTTCGGGCAAAAACAACTCACTTCACCAAAAAAAACGCTAAATTCGGAAAGGGAGCAAAGCAAATGCCCAGAGCCCCAACTCAGTCCTGCAGTGCGACGGCTGTCAGATGCACAGAGAACCTTCTTGCTGTCCATTGACCGTGGAAACAATAACAAAAACCCCAAGAAAAACCCAGAAACAACCAAAAGACAAAGCCCTGGACATTTCCCTGAGGGCTTTATTTCTGTTATTTTCTGTGTTGGTTTTCCTCAAGGCTAAGTGTCTGGGATTGCTTGCTGTGGTTTTCTCGGTTTTCTGAGTTCTTCTGGGTTGGACTGCTCTCACACGCTCAATACTGGCGAGGGTTCGTGCTTCTCGCATGCCGTTTCACTTCTGAAACGGTTGGAGTATGTCTCCCTGGGCTCACCATGCCACAGTGCGCATAACCCAGGCATTCTCAGTCAGCCTTGCTCAGGCACAAGGAGGGGGAAGATGAAGCGCGGCGTTTTGCAAGCGCTGCAGTGGTCTTGCGGGATCCGACGGTCGGCATGGATCGAAGAGTATTGTTCCATAAATGGATGAACCTGTGACTGTAGACGTTCATGTCATTCAGGTCGAAGTTCTTTCTGCGAATAACAGCCTCGGACACGTTTGTCTGCGCTTTCTTGACTAGAGTCGCCTCCGCCGAAGTCTGTGGTTCCTGCGGTGAAACTCATCCACTACGCGCCGACTGCCCTTGAACACGGCGCGTCGTGGATAAGGGCATCCAGGGACTGCCAGCCCCTGAGCTCGGTTAGCCCAGCTCCTGATGACCTGCTTCTCTACCTTATTCACGGATATATATATATATATACACATGATATGCAGTTGTATAACATTAAGACATAATATATATATATACAATATGTAGAAATATAGATGTTCGCAAGGAATGAGATGGAAGACTGCTGCTGCTGGGCTTGTTAGGTCTTCATGAATATAGACCCTCACTAAATGTCAGAAAAAGCCTGGGGGTGGAACTCTTGCATGCGTGGCCAACAGAATCTTGCTTTGGGGCCTAAATGAGCGTGTGTGACCACTGTTGGAACTCCCTCTTTGAGAGATGGAAGCAAACCTATGCAACTTTCTCCATCAAACCACTTGAAGATTTGTAAGATCTCCGCAACAATGCCTGTATCCTCAAGACCAAGAAGTATAATGTATCCGCCGCCCACCTTCTGCAATCTACTCACAGTCTTCGCAGAGGGCCGTGCTCCCATCAATTGAGAGAGTGCCAAAATTTCAATCCGAGAATCGCAGAGCTCAAAAAAAAAACGCATCTGTCTGCCTGCCCTGCCTTGCCGAAAAGGTCCCTTGGCACCCGCGCTGCGCGGTACACCACGCGAGCGCAGTGAGCCAGTGAGTCTTCCGTCGCCTGGCGCGAAACAGAGGCCGAAACACGGGAGGCAACTTGTCGGAAGCGACTCATGAAGAGATCGAGACCCGGGCGTCATGGATTCGACCGAAAGGAAACAAACAACGTAAATGACAAGCACTTGAACCAGCAAGTACTTGAGTTCATGTGTCAAGCAACCCACACCAAGCCTACAGTCAACACCGCAACTTCAAGGTCAACAGGCATGTGGTGGCAATGTTTTGGCATGTCGAGGTAGGTGCACTGATTTCTCACGCAGGTGGCAAGCCTGTCAGTCTGACAGTATCAGAAGAACTTCCACTATTGCTCAGAGCTATCACAACAAGTTGCATCACTCATCGGAGGACGGAGTAAATACGCAGTACTTGCTGCGCCTCATTGCTGCGATTGGCAGGGTTCTTGGCAATCAAGGCCGCTGATGAACTTTGGGAAGAAGCATGTCCTCTCAACCTAATGCACATTCCTACGCTCAATTTGTTCAACGCATGATCGACCTGGACTGAGGGATCTCCGCACTTCACAGCACATCATGGGATTGAAACATAGGAGGAGGTTGTGTCGCGACCCAACAAGACTGCCACACATGGCAGTGTATTCTTGAGTGAGGGCATCTTGAAAGCTAAAGGGGAAGCAGTCATTTGGGCGGAGGGGGGCACCATTTCCCAGTGGAAAACAAACCCGAAACAAATCGACGACAGGCTCCAGACCAGCAGACTGGGCGCCCCAACGCGGGATTGGAGGGCAAAGAACTGGTCCTTTGCCTTGGGCAAATTTGAATTGCGAGGTCAAAAGGCTTGGGACCTGAAGCCGAAAGTCACCGTTGTGGGAAATCCTCCTTTCTGTGATACCAAAGTGGGCATCCTGGAACTACTCTGCCACTTGAAAGAGAACTCCTGAATATGACAGAATGTGGGGTTCCCAACCATGCCGAGGGTTCGTTTCTGGGGGTTCAAGTCTTGTTTCATTTCGGTGAATGATCAGATCTCCAGACTACGTCATAAGAGCTGGCCAATGGGATTGGATGCCAATCTCAAATAGTTGGGTGTTTGCTGGCCTGATGAGGAGCCTGATTGAACTCGACTCCGTGGGATTTGAGCGCATCGAGCTGAACGACCATACACACATAAGCTCTTCACATAAATATGTTCATACCTGGACCGAATATAAACCTTGTCCATGAACTGCTGCATACGTGTTCTCTTTCGGGACAATCCCTGTGTATGGCGGCATCCCCCGATCTGCGACCTTCCTCGGCCCTGCGTTGAATCTGCACTGGAAAAATCTGGTGACGACAACTGTCCACCAAGCATCTCGTGATTTCCGGCAAACGCTGGCGCACACAGTCCATACGGTCTGCATATTGGGTTGTGCACAAACAAGGTGCCGGGAATTCACCCAAGCGTAGGCCTTTCATCCGTTTGCAGGCCTTGTTCAGAAGTGCGTTGCCGATTGCTTGTGTTTACAACACTTTTGCATCCCAATCACGTGCAAGAAACTGCAACTCTTTCAGGGTGATAATTGAACCTTTTCTTGACAAACTAGGAGCCACAACTCCAAGTCCGCGTGTACCATTGTCAAGGCTTCCTTTCAGGGTATGCGGCTGGTCGAAGCAGAATATGCTCCCTCTGGTCATTCAAACTCATTGATGAAAGGGTTGCAACCAAACAGAATTGAGACCTTGAGGGGCACCTGACGCCCCGCCGAAATACAACTCATAATCAAAGGCTGCCTAGTGTTCTTGATCAGTGCCAGCAAAATGTCACATTAATGGACCCAGACAGACGCACACGTCGTCAAGAAGCATAAATAACTCGTCAAATCTGCCGCCAAGTAACATGCAAAATTCATACGGCAAACTCACTAGCACAGCTTAGAATTCAGCACCAGCAGCATCAACTATTGCAATGACAGCAATTATACGAAGGTTGGTAAGCATAGCATCATTGATACGCAAACATGTACACAACTTGATCGCCATCAAATATCGCTCACAAACCCAACCTGAAATAATCGATCATGTTTGCTAACCTCAAGCTTTGCTGCGACATGCTGGACTGGGCCTCCATCTAAGGAGAAGTAGGGCTCAGGGGCTCAGGGTTCCAAAGGGTGCAGGGCTCGGCACTCATCAAAGGGGGTCGCGAAGAAGGCTTGGTTTGCCTGCTCAATTCAAGCCGTACCAACATGGAATGTGCGCTCTCAAGCTCGCAATGGACACTACTTGGAATCTTTCACGCACGACACATCTGAGCATCGGAAAAGGTGGGGATGATGGTCTGCAATTTTGAAAATATGTTCAAATTCCGAAATACGGTTTCCTCAAAGGACCCGTACCATAGTGAGATCGTTTCACCCCCCCCCTTGCCCTGAAATTGGCAGATGTCGCCGCTGAACCCTTCCCATGGCCTCAGTCCAGGCATGGCGCAATGCCAATGTGGCGGCCCACTGGCCGGACCTGTGCAACGGGCATTGGGCAACTTGTTGGATCCGCAGATGTTGATGGGGGGAACGGGAAGAACATGGCTAGCAAGCCACTTTGAGATTCCCGCTCTACATCAGACAAGGCTTGGTGCCAAAACGAAAACTCGGAAGTGAACAACACTTTGATTGTCAAGATTTATGAACTGTGACAACACACTGATTAGGTTGACATCTGTATGCTCTAAAGCTTGGCTTTGCACCGCCAACCCTTTCTTGGCGAAAGAGCCTTTCTCATAAGTACTTAACGTGTCTGAAGAGGTAGACGTCTGAACATCTCAGGGCTCCCATATGATTCTGGCTCAGCGGCTGATAGAGAGCCCTGAGTTTTCACTTGTGCTAGTCTGCCTTGCCCACATTGCATGGACACCAAAGCTTCCGACCCGCTATCATCTCTCTGCCCGGCCCTCCTACTAACCCAGACAACTCTTCATCCCCCACACACAAAAACTCACCTGGACCCGTGTAAGATGACCCGTGTAAGATTTGCCATAGCTATATTCGGCATGATGACCCTAGCACCTGTTGGCCCCAAGCTGGGTGGTCTCCCGGGCTCCGGGCTGTGAGCACACCCTCACCGCAGCCAGCAAACTTCTGCTGGGCTGCATCGACTGCCTGGCGGGATGGCCAGCGAGACAGAACCGGAAATGAGATGCTTCGAGCCAAATGAGCCTTCCAAAGTCTTCAAAGTGCAAGCCGCTAAAGCCTTCACCTTGAGAGGAAAACGCAAGTGAACGCTCGGCTCGGCGGATATTCCTAGGCCGCGCAGCCCAACATCAGTTGACCCAGAAACTCTTGTAAAGCAGATGGTTTTCGATGGCTTTCGCCTCTCTCCTCCTCGATTTTCGCAATGTCGCCCAACACACCTCCAGCATGGTTGCCTTTTGCTTGTGTTATTCTACTTCACATTGTGTGTCCTAGATGTATTTTCCGCCATCAGATTCACGGCCTCGTTGCCTTGGCAAACAGCGTGGGTGGCTGACGCAGCGAGCTTGTATATTACAAGAGCTTAGCGCTGTCTTTGGTAGTTAACAAACCAGTGTAGTTGGTCCATGTTTACGACATGCAGCTTTTCGCAAGTATGTCAAAGTAGTCCCCCAGGCACCAAAGCAGGGCTGTGCGCAATGTGTAAGTATGGCAATCTGTGCCTCGTCAACAGCACACCTTGCTTGTTCAGATGAAATCCCTGTACGCGCCGGAGTGCGGAGATGGCATGATGCGCCATCTATTTCCGCTCTTAAGCAGCTAGCTAGTCGCTCCAAGTGCCGCACTGGTGCAAGATTGCGTGTATCAAGTCCAAGCTTACTTGTTGAGCGAACTATGATGTCTCAAATGTCCCGCGCAGCTGAGCATGTCCTAATGTGGCAAACAAGGGGCTGGGGTACAGGCAGTGCCTCGCCTCTGCACGGCAGAGACCATCTCCAGCGCCAGTTTCCAGTTGGCTGACCTCAAATTCATAAGCTCAAGCAAATTCAGGCTTGTGCCAGTGCGTAGACTCCTTCTTGGAATGAAACAATTTTGGCAAGGGCGACGTGCATTCTTGATTCTGGGCGGTCCAGTGTGGCTCTACGATCCTGCGTTGGAGTTTGCTTTCTGCTCTTGGCACTCCTCCACATGTTGAAGGCGTCTCCACAAGCTCCACAAGAAGCAAACGTGCAAACTGGTTACGCCAGCAGATCCTAGGTTGGCGAGCGTCTGTTGCCTTGGTGAAGCCTAGACGGTTCAGAGCAACGCTGGCTTGGATTGAGGATCACCTTGAACTCATGGCGAAAAAATCCCTGACAACAAATGGAAGCAAAGATTATATAGAGGCTCAAACTGAAAAACACAGCACGCCTTTGTGTAAGGGAAACACAGACCCTTGTACCTCCGGAAACATCGTGCCAAAACGGAGATGCTTCCAGAAGCAAGCCACCAGCAAACAATGATCCAAACCAGAAAGCTCCTGCCCGGTCTCATGTCAGACAACCCACCCGAGAGCCCCAGCCGCCCTTGCTGCCGCGTCGCCGGTCCATGCGCTCCCGCGAGATGTTGATGACAACCTCCGCCTGGCAGCAGAACAGCTGTCAAAACAAGTTGGAGGTCTATGGTCAGCCTCCGGAAACCCACGTTGGGCCAAGGTGGGCAACAAACAGCCCAAGGGCCCCAACCTGTGCAGAAAGCGCTGTTGCCAATGCGTTTAGTCGGGTGAGACGTCACCTGGGCCAAACGGTCACTGAAGGACATTGAGCCGCAGAAGAATGCATAGGGTGTTGTTTTTTGGGTGCCCTTTTTGGCGATTGGCTTGAAAGGTAACCGAAGGGCACCGCAGAACAAGTGCATATGAGTGTTTGTTTGTTTATTCTGGGTGCCGCTTTTGGCATTGGATTAGAAAGAGAAACGGAGCCAACCTTCTTGGGAGTTGTCAGACACACCCATAGTACTTGCAGTGCTGACCACTCAATATTGCCAGTCAACGAGGACTCGGGCAAATGAAGTAAATGGCCAAAGTGATTCAAGCATTCGAATCCAGGCGCAAGCCTTTTAGTCGAACCCTGTGACTACTGACTACTCAGGGCCAACTGTTTGCACGTGTGCATCTGGACCCTATCAGGTGTCCCCTCTCCTTCAACTCAAATTCGCCTTGGTTTTAAGGTGGCCAAGGGCGCTCAGATCTCGTTCCCAAAGAGAATCTTTGCTTTCCCCAACCCCTTCCCTGCCCAAAGTTTGTTTGGGCCTTGCCTTACACCCAGCCCAACCAGCACCCTAGCCCGACGTCCCAGTTCAGGCAACCACCTGCTGGCCAGGCTGGTCTGACGTGTCTGAAAACTAGCTTCAGGCCCAGCCCAACCAACAACCCACCAAAGTGCTTTGGTTGTCGAAACTTGCTGCGCAACTTCCGCTCATGACATCCACTGCCCCAGCGCGCAGCGCCACTGACTCCTGGCTCCATGACTCACTCCTGGTCCTATGCATCGCCTTGCCCTTGCCTCGGGATTCCTGCGCAGCTTTGGCCCATGACATCAATTGGTCCAACGACGCCAGAACCCGTCCATTCCCAAATCGCCACTTGACCAGCTCTGCTGCTTGCAGTCGAACCACAGACGCTGCGCGCTCGGCTGGGCCACTGGGCCGAGGCGGGCAACGTGCAGCGTTTACGTTGAGCTTTTTCAGCACAACTTGCGATCTGCACACAACATGAGTCTGCCCTGCTCGTTGGGAAAAGAATGGCAGCGTAAAACGCCAAGATTGCGAAAGGCCAGTCTCGATATGGGAGTTTGTTTGAGCATGCCCTTGTTTTGGAGTTGACGTGCATGCAAACCAAAATACAACCACCTGTGTTGCGGGGTTCCACCACATCGTGACAAAGCTCTATCAGCAAGGACTGCCAACGGCGACAACCCCAGAAGAACAATGCGCCACATCCTGCCTGTGTATCCTCATCCCCGCCACGCCGCGACAAAGCCTTGGCTCCCAAACCATTGCATACCATCGCGTATACATCGCGTGCTTTTCTATTAGGGAAGCCCTCAAAAAGGTGGCTTAATTTCGGATCTCCTGTAAACCCAATTCAAAAAGGAATCTTCCCAAAAAACAAGCCCATTTTGGGCTTCCAGGCGAGTCGGGTCCAATACTTAATTAATACTTGGGCTCAAAGAAGGTCAGTGGCTTGAGAACAGTTCATGCACAGGCAGTGTGACTAGACAGCCACATGTGCTTCCGTGACTGGGCAAGTCAATTGAACAATACCTGATTCTCACAGGTGGATTTGGTGGCTGGCTGGCTGGCGTTCCGCCTTTCCATTGCAGGCAAAGCCAAGCATTGAAACCCAGTAATTCTGCCTCGGCAAAATGTTTTTGTACATGTGCACCCAGCCGCGCGCGAGGGGGCTCTGGCAACTGCCAGGGTTGTCTGTAGTACATGCAGCAAACAGTTGGCAAATCTGGTCATGGGTCACGAGTTGCTTGAACATGTGCCGCTAGGACTTCGGAAAGCAACTGCTGCTATCAGCAATCCAGCACACTGCGTGTCTTGAACCAATGGCTCGTCATCCGACTCTCCGTGAACGCGGAAGAAGCACACACACACACTTGTCATCGAACAACGTGCAAATTTGATACTTTGCTCAAACACAGCATCCTGGAACACGCTTTTCCTTCTCATGACCAGGCCCTGCACAACAATGGAACCCAGTACTACAGATTGAGCTCTCTTGGTGTTGTTCGCCAGGTTTCTTTTCCTGGGGTGGCGTTCATTGTTAGGGAGAAGCGATGGAAAGCGAAGGGCAAACAAAGAAGCAGCGTCTTTGCTCAGTCCGCCCGGCTTTAGTGAAGCCAAGGGCGGGGTGGCCCTAAAATCACGTGGACACATCTAGTACCCCTGAGGCAACCATGGGAAACCGACCCGAATCTCGGTTCCAAGGCTGCAGTTGATTGGTTCCAAGACCTCTGATTTTTCGCACATGGTAACAGTAGGTGTCGGGATGTATCCAGGGCTCCCTGCACGCCAGGTGGCCACAGCCAAGCCCCAGGAAGCCTCGGGCTCTTCTGGGGATGTGTGAGCTTTGGCCCGGCGCCCTTTGCACCTTGGTTTAGAGGAAGACCAAAAGGAACACACAAAGATACCAATAGGATGTTTGTGGCTCCATTTTTGGGTTTCTATTTTCGGTTTATCCATATTTGTTTGAAGGAAGACCCTATAGGAGGACCAATAGGATTCATTTTTGGTGTCCACCCCATTTTCGACACGCATGGGGAACCATATGTGTACCAATGCCGAGCCTTCTCAGGGCTCAGAGCCGGGCTAGCGCCCCAGCACGCACCAAAGATAAGGAAGAGGCCTAGGCCATTGCGCTTCAGGCACCGATCGTTCAGCTTGTGCCTGATGAATTGATTGAACTACCCTTGTCACTTAGGAAACACAAGGCTAAGCTGGCAACTGTGCGATAATCTATAGAGTGGATTTCGACATAATGTGGGAAATGTAGTTGCCTCAAACAGACTGAAGCTGCACGTGAGGTCAACACTGAGTTCTGTGTATGGTGTGGGTCCTTGCACAAGTTAGGTGCACACCAAAAAAAGACTTTGCAAAGTAAATGAGTGTGTCAAGATGAGGATCCTCTCTGGTAATGGTTCCTTTTCAAAGTTGCAACAGGGATGCGGGTGTTGATTGATCCCGAGACGCAAACTCTCATCAACACGGAAGCGTACGTCTGGCCCCTCTGGGAGGACTACTTTTCTTTCAGGCCAGAAGCCTGTGCAGTGGATGTGTTGGTTAGATGCAAACATGGCAGTGCATCCTTGTCTGACAGGAAAGCAGCTTCAAAAGGAGGCTATCCAACTCATGCGACAGCACGAGATAGATGGGCGCCTGTCTTCCCGCAAGGGGCAGAACCCTGCAAAAGCGGAGGTTTCTCTTCTGCTTTCCCTGTAAAACAATCTGCAAAAGCGCACCCTCAAATGAGCCCCTGCTGCAGCATCCTGTGAAACCACCTGGAAGATTCCATGACTGGAACGTGCACGTGCACCCCGTCAATGACTATACTGTTGCAGAAGAACACATTGATGGAGCCGCAAGCATGTTCCATCTGACCAGTTCAAGTTTCATCTGTCCAGTTCAACACATATGGGTGTGGGTCATTATTCTGGTGTGGAACGTTCCGCGGTGACGCGGACGTCTGGAACGAGTCAGTTACGTAAGGTTGGTTGTTCCGGACCTCTGGAAAGACAGGTGTGGAGTCCTCAAGCACAGTTCATTTAGTGTAAGATGGAGAGATGGATGGATGAATTGATGGATGGGTAGATGGATGGATGAAGCGACCAGGGGCGCGCGGCCTCACCATACGGCACCTCCTTGAAGGCTTCTTGGGCCGCGTAAGAAGCGCAGCTACTTACATGGGGCATGTGTGCGCATGTGGGCTTGGTGGCAAATTGCTCCGCTGCGTCTGGAACACGTCTGGAACGGGTCTGGAACGGGGTCTGGAACGGTTACGCGAGTGGCTTGCACTTGGGGAATGCTAGCAAGCAGCATGTAAACATGGTCGTTTCAACCATGTGACGACTGAGAGCGGTATCGAACCGTTACCGCATCGTATCGAACAAATAGCGGCGGGGCATCTGTCAACAGAACCGCTGCCCAATTCCATCCAAGTCCCAATGATTACAAGCCACGCAGCCCTAACCACCAAAGCTCAACAAGCAAATCCCATCGTTAGCACCTCAAGCTTCTCTCGAACACCAGCTTTAACGCGTAGTATTGGCGGGTCAATAACCTACCAAATCACCTGACCGTCTGAATCAATACTCTAAACTAGACATATACATAAACAAGGTCTGGAACGGAAGGTCTGGAACATGTTTCTAGGCAAGGTCTGGAACGGAGGTCTGGAACGGAGGTCTGGATCGCATGTGGGTTCCGGACCCTGTTCCGGACCTTATAAATTGACTCGCAGCCATATCATATCCTCGAGCCAAGAAAATGTATCGAATCTAAGGCTACTAGGGACTCTGCTGTATGGGTGTTCACTCATGTAATCCATTAGTATACCGATCGCTTCCCCGATCAAAAAGTCAACCGACACATCAATCACATATCCCATCCAATAGAATCAATTCCAATCATTTCAACCAAATCGATGAAATAATCATCCGTTCACATTGCGTGGCTGTTCATGCCATTCCAAAAAGATACAGAATCTGGGTGGGATCCGAACTACTCGCTCTGCGAGAACGGCCAGCGTGGTTCAACCATGAACCGCGGAAGTGGAACCTCATGAACATGTCATGAGCAAGGCAATTTGCGTCCGCGCCTTGCCCTCCAAAGCGCTCACCTGCTGCCCTGCGTGGCGCATGTCCTAGCGAAGAGGGCTGAACCGGCGCGGACACAGCGTGCATTGCTTGAAGCTGCTGGCTCGGGCTGAAAAGCTGCTATAGTGGCGACCCAAAATCCTATGGAGAAGCGCTGTGAATCGCGCTATCTACGCCAATCTTGTTGGCTGATTGATTCTAAGGGAAAACCCACGAACCACACAGCACAACAAAAGGTGCCACTGCACAAATGGGATTGAACCGGCCTGGCAGAATCCTGATTCAATCAGGGCACACTTCGGTTGCTTCCGGCCTCCAAGATGGAGACGGCCAAATCCCACCGCCGGTCCTGGGGAACTGCAGCCGGCTTCAGCCCAAGGGCTCCTTCTCTAACCCCCGGCCCGACCTCATTGTCTGATTCCTTTGTTGCCACTTCCCAGGTCCCCCAAAAAACTGATTCGCGGTCAAACATGCTCACAAAATGAAACTGCACGCTCGCAATGCGCAAGGAACACGCAGCAACGTCAGACATCAAATTAAAATAGTGCATGAGTGTCGAAATTTCAATCCTGGCCGTATCTCCATGCATGTTAAATATATTTCCGCGTCTTTATGTCAATGTGAATGACATCCTTCCGTGTCCACAATTCGCCGGTGGAAACGGAAACGCCCTTGCCACTCTCTACTGATGGTAAGGTCAACAACCGAAAGCATGAAGATAAGACGGCTGAAAAGCCGAGACCCCATTCATGCAGAAGTTGCATGGTTGTGTGGTTGCCACAATGAACTCACAGCTGCATCGGGGTCAAGACTTGAATGGCCGGGGGCAACTCTCTCTGGGCTCTTAGCATTCACAAGGCCTGCACGCACTACTGTGGGGCTTTGAAGCAACATTCAGTGAAGAGCGGACGGAAATCACTCCCTCGAGCAAGTCAAGAACAGTGGCAGTTGCAAACATGCTTGCTCTGCATTCCGGCTGAAATGAAGCCCCCGTGGACCTTGTGCCCTAGTACCGTCTTTCCCTCTCTGCATCAGTTTACAATGTTTTGGGGCTTCGAGTAGCTAAGTGTGCTCTAAGTCATTGGCGTGGTCACGCAACACGCAAAGGTTTGGCTTGTTTCTAAAGCAGGTTCGGTCAGCAGAGAGAGGAATTCAAGTTGGTGTGAAGATAGCAAACCAAAGATACGGCGTGCTGCAAGTACCGAGAATCGGTTTGAGTACTGGTTCGGGTCCTGTAAGTTTGCCACTCCGGAACCTCGGTCTAGCTCAATGTTTGCGGGCTTTATCCATGCCGCCATGACTCGTATAGCTTCTCAATAACGCAAGGTGCAGCTCACAAGAACGCAGAACTATTCAAACCAATTGCGTCTTCATGGCTTCTGGGGGTATCCTGCTTTCATCAGCATCGCTTACAATGGCTCGGGCCTGCGAAAAGGCGCGTCTTCGTTATTTATTTCGACCCATTTGGTGGCCTTCGGAGCGAGTAACGAAGCAGGCACGCCCGGATTTCCCTCCAGCTCCTGGCACGCGTTGGACGCAGCAATGTAGACCTATCACGGGCGCTGCCTCTTGGAAAAGGGGGAGCACTGGTTTACATTCCTGGTGTGGAAATAACTTATCAAGTTGGCTTGCAGGGCTATGTTGCTAAAGAACTGAATTGGAATTCAACAAGCGGAAACAAAGCGTTCAAGAATTGGTTCGGCCAAACAACACGCGCGAGGCTCGAACAAAGGTGGCCTACCGCAGCCAACCGATGAATAATCTACTGATTCAGTAGAGCCCATCTAGGCCAAGAGTTGCAGACGGAAAAATGCTACCTAATGCTGGCGAGGAAGCGAAGCAAACAAGTGGCCTTTCTGACTGACAAGTACACGTTGAGCGTGATAAATGTCCGGTGATTCGACCGCAAGCGGCTTGGCTGCAGCTTGTTGCCTGATATGCCAAACTGAGTGGCACACCTTGTGTGAACGAACAGGCTGGCCAGTTGGGTGTCAAAGCAGCATAGACAGCAGTGCTGCAGCTGCGTGTTTTTGTCTTGTCATGCAGGAAAGCACGCATGCAAACTGCCCCTAGTTTGGTCTGGAATTCAAGCTTGATATCAGGGATGCTGCGATTGATGTCGAACTGCGGCAACATGTCCAATGCTCGAGCTGCAGTCTTATAACACCAGGGCTCAAACTTGGTGTTTGTGGTGCCAACGAACAATGGGTGGAAAGAATGCAAAAAGCAACCTTTACATCATCACAAAAAACAAAACCTTGATTTGGATTCCCTTTCAAATTGTTCCTTTCTGTTGGATTCATTTGTTCCCATGCCCAACAAAATACTATGGCTTCATGCCCCTGAGCTCCACGCCGGCGGCGGAGGCTGGCCCCGGCGCGTGAGATGCCCCAACACACATCTGGGCGCGCAAGGCAGGCTTTGCCGCCGCTGGGGGGTAACCCAGCCAGTCCAGTTGAGAGCAAGATAGTCTTTCAGGACCAAACCAGGTTTCATGTTCTTGGGAGGGTATATATGCTGCGACCTCCCGCCTTTTTGTGGAGTTTGTCACCCCCTTTAGAGTCACTCAGCGGCCAAGGAGGGCCGCAGAAGCCACCCAACCACCGCGGATGGTGTGAAGGACTTTGGGCACATGTAAAGCTGGGTGCTGACGGTTGGTCTCATGGCAAAACCCAGTGCAAGTTTGGTTGGCAGCGTTGCTGGCTGATACCTATCTATCTACAAATCTACCGCATCTATCTATGTGTATACCAAGCAGCCGATCGCTTGCATGGATGGACACGGCAGGATGTGCGTGAAACAAATCTGTGGGAGCTGATGTCTTGTGAGGATAGCTGGGCATCACCAGCTCATTGGCCTCATAACGTCCACACCTACAGCGTGTTGGATCTGAATGGTACATCCACAGCTGTGATCCTCATGGCCGTTTTTGTTTTTGGCTTGCCCCTGAACGGCTGATTCAAAAACGGCAAGCAGTCAAGCACAAGGCATCGCAAAATCATGGGTCCCGCTAAGCTCCTGGGAGATGCTGTTCTAGTGTGATGAAATCCATAGAGCCAGGCAACTTAAAAGCCTGCATAATGCCGGTTAAGAAGCATGAAGGCTCCAAAGCAAGGAGCGCCCTGTATCGCTCGTCTACAAACAGCAAACATGCAAAACAACACATGACGTTCATTCCAAGGAACTGAAAGCATATAGCAGAGGCATCGAAACAATCCCATGAATAAATCCATGTCATTGCACTGCTTCAGAAAGCGAGAGGAAAATCAGAAAGACAATACAATCCCTCTGAGTCTTCAGTAAAGTGTGTCCCTCTGCAAAGCAGCTTTCAATCAAGCTTCCCTACATGCCCACGCCAGTTCCTTTCCCTGTCAAGGCAGCCTACTGTAAAGCCCCACATCAACACCCGATCAGGGCATCGCTGTCTCCGCCCTGAGTTGCTGGCATGGCCAGGCTCCAGCATGTCGCTTGCTGCCAACCCTGCATCGCCTGGCCAAAGCGTCGGAAAAGCGAGTTGCTCACCAGCAAATCGGACAACCGGCTATCAATAATCGAACCGTTTAACAATATCAATCCAGGGGTTCCCTCTTTGGAGACAGTCGGGTGGCTTACCCTGCTAGCCCGTTTCCCTCTCGAAAACTAATGCATTGTCTTCAAAGACGGTGTCCATCCAAATGCAGTGTCCTATTTTATTTTCGGGGGCAAGGCAGTCCCATGGCGATATGTCGATGATGTTGCTTTCTTTCGAGTGGGTGCAATTGTGCTGTGTGCAAGACATGTATTTTGGAAACGCTCGGTGTTCGTGTGGAGACTTACTAATATATACCTGGGTCTTCCATTTGGTCACCTTTTGGGGCCCTGGGCATTTGTTTTGCTCGTTTCAGATTTTGATTTGGCATAATCTGGCAAGTTCTCTCACAGAAAATGAGCGGAGATCGGCGGGAAATGAGCAGAAATCGGCAGGAAATAAGCGGAAATTTGCGGACACGCACACCAGAGCCATTTTCCAATTGAGCGGTTTCTTTCGAATTGAGCGTTTTGGATGAAATGAGCGTTATTTTTGCTCGAAACGGAAAAACCCAGAAAGAAGTGCCCACGGAAGACCTAGGATATTACAGTCATGTTCATCCTTACGAACCCCAAGCATCCTTGAGCACATTCAAACGACTTTGGGACAAACGTGCTATGCATCCACACTACTGGAACAATGCGATTAGCATTGGGCAAGGACCATTCGACGCTTTCCAATGCCAGCCAATGCTGCGAGGAAGTGTGCTTGATTGGAATCGCTTCTCGTATAAAACATCAGCGGATCAAACCAACTTTCCGGCAGAGCTTCGCAATGCTCATCGGACCTTTTCCGCACGCTCTCATGTTCGGCAAATCTCCAGCCAGTGCGACGAAAAGCATCTGGAGGAAACTGAAACCGAGCTTTAGGTAGTCAGTCTTTAAATTTGAGGACCCTTTGAGGGCCCAACGAGACCTCACAAGAAAGACTGGCCTCAGAAGACTCGCAGGCCGTCCTTTGTGCTTCACCCTTTGAGCCCCGCGCGCATGTTTCGGCCCATGTCCGGATAGGACGGAAGACCCAAAGCATGGTAAGATGGACGCGCGAGGCACTCCTTCAGCTTCTCAGTCACCGGGTGACTGTTTGAAGTTCTGTCACTGCGACCAGAGGCAGACCATCCCATGGCCCAATCCGTCACTCGAGGGCTGGCGGCTTGGTCCAAACCGAAAGCCAACCCAAAGGGGGATCCTCGAAAGGTTGACGCCGGTAGGTCTCTGTCCAGTCGAAGCGCGTGGAAGTCAACTCCTACAGATCGGAAGCGGTGGCAGAGGTGGATTCTGCGCGGCGAAGCCAACTCGGCAAAACATCAACTGAAATGAGGTACCCCAAGACAAGAACCCGCACCAGCATGTTTCTTGTTCCTCTGCCAGGGTGAAATGCTGGTAAATAGATTCTAAGCTGAAAAGAGGCGACCACCACCATGTCTTTCGATCAAGTTCATCAAGCAGAAGCGGTACGGTCAATCAAATCCTTCCAGAAACACCTGGAATCAATACTGCTCTCCCCTCCAAACGTTTTGTGCCAATGCGCCCCGCGCAAGCCAATAGATTGGTTTGCCGGCTTGTCGGAAATCCCACCTGTCCCCAAGAGGCTAAAGGTACCAAACAGCAGACAAGGCATATTGGCCGCCTCTGATTCAATCTGATCCGAAGATTGCCGTACATTGGGTGAACCTTTCCACATGTCTTATAGTCGTGACTCTGTAAAGGTGCATTGTGTGTTGATGTTGCAGGTTCTAAATACAAAGTTGTCCCTCGCAAAACGAGCTAAGTATGTCTTTCATAAGCTGCAGCAACCTGGCATCAGCTGGAAATTACATTGTGTGGCACAATTCTGAAGTGCGACCATGCATGGAAATCTGAAACGACAGTGCCTACGCTGAAAGTCACAAGGCAAGGCTGTTGGACCCGCAGATTCTGCTTTGCTACTCATTAAACAAGCAACCCTGCCGACTTTGCTGAAATCTAATAGGTAATCGCTGCGTAGATTTGCCACCAAAAGTAGCCCAGGCTGAGTATAGAAAGTCTCATTTGAAGCGCACACTCGGCTCCTTGCAAACGAGGCCGGTGCCATCAAAGGCGTGCAGAACCTGCTCCCTGGAGAGCTGGACAGGTCCCCGTGATGCTTCCTCCTCAGGGCACTTTGAGGTTTGTCAAAATATGGCAAAAGGCGGCATAAGGTGGAAACAGGGTCCGAAAAGGGGCCATATGTTTGACACGGCCTTAGTTGGCTTAACGATTTGAATGGAGTGCGCCTTACATTGGTTTCGGCTCAGGCTCGCTCGGCTCAGCCTGTTTCTCTTCCGCCGGCATCTCGATGCTTGGGAATCTGGAACAAATAGGGTCGTCAGCTCAGTCGAAGGGCTTGATGTGATTTGATGAGGAGGAAACTACTTGGGGCATCAAATCCTGCATCAAATTCCGCTCCAACGCCGGCTGTGATGGAAAATCCGCTCTTGATTCAGGCTAGAAGGCAACGCACTACACTGCATGGTCCTCAAATAGAATTATTCAAGAACCCGGATTTCAACGCACAAGTCGTCCTCCCAGCTCATTTCCCATCTAAGTAGTCCAGCAGTCCAGCAGTTTTCCCATGTCCAGTGGCAAAAATGGTATCTAGACAAACGAAGGTGCCTTGCGGAAAGAAGGTGAATGCCCTGATCAAGGCCAAGCCTGCCCGGAACAAGTGGCTTGGTTGCCACTTTCCATTCTGGCCTTGCATGCGCAGGCTGGTCTGTGGCCAAGCTGGGAGGAAGTCAGTTTACCACTTCACACCACAATTCCAAGAAACCGATGAATTATGCATGGGTCAAAATATTGGATTGAAGCTTCTTACACTTGCTTTAACCCCCCCCCAAAAAAAAACGGCAGCTTAGCCAACGTTTCGCCGGCACAACTTGTCTCTTGGGGCCGGCGCACTTTCTTCACACGTCATCGCAGAGATGTTCAAATCCAACAACAATTCAAAGGGTTTGGTTACAGGAACATCGACAAGAAACAGCCCCAAAACACCCTAGATCAGCTGGTTTTGCTGCAGAATGTCCCGTAACCAAACCCTTTGAACACTGTGACCAGGGGAAGTTGAGAAGTTCATCCCCAGGTTACTTCGTCTCCTCTGAGTTTCCCGTGAGCATCAGCATGGTGCCCCCAGGAGCCAGCAAACCCGCGATGGCCCTGGCAGCTGCGGCCGCGTCCACCTTCGCGGTTCTGGGATCCTTCATTCACCTGAACATTGCCTTGTAAATGGTGGCTTCCCTTTATTTCTGTGGAAAAGGCCATGTTTCAAATGGTTGCAAAACGTATCTTTTAAGGAATCCTGTTTAAGGGTACCCGTTTTGGGGGTTTAACTGGGCTGGCCTCAGATGCCCCGCTGATAGTTTAACTAAAAAAACAAATAGTGGGGTCCCGATTAAAACGGGAAAATGTCCCCCAAAAAATAGCCCTCCCTTTTGGTGGGTTGAATGGAAACCCCACCAAACGCTAAAAAGCTGAAAAGCTAAAGGGGATGGCTGGGAGCCACCAAGTGAAAGGACAGCCAAAGGGAAGCCAAAAAGCCAGAAAGTTAGGGGGATGGCTGGGAGCCACATGGAGCCACCAAGTTAAAGGAAAGCCAAAGGGAAACCACCCATTTGGTTTTTGGAGCCAGACCCAATGACCCACCTGATACAGGCAGTGGAAGCACTGGCAGTCGAAGATGAAGTCAAACTGCCAGCCACCTGCATGCGCTAACATGCATGGTCACTGTGCGCAGTGTGGGCACGGGTTTTCTTTGTTGTGGTCGAAAAGCGGGTTGGATGTTCCTGTAAAAAGCGATGCCTGGCATCAGAGTAGTTATGTTGGTCGACAATCCATCCATGTTTGATGATAAATATGCTTTAGCCTGTTCATCCGGAAGGTCAAACGTTGTTTTGTGCATTGTGAGAGATGATGTCTTTAGCAGCTGATGACTCATATTTGGATGCCACCGTCAAATATGCCAAAGGTCGGTCGCTTCACGACTCCGAGACCGTGTGCAACTCACCGAAACCGCCGAACACTGTGGAGAAAACAACTAAAGTGTTTCATTCAGCGCTTCGTAGCATTTGGATGCCAGCTTGAATATGAAAGCAAACGTGCCGAGACGTTGGGTCCCCTGGGGTGCCTCGGAATCTGGGCCCCTGAAGCCAACCGCTTCACAATGAAATCAAGCAGCGAATCAGGCAGAAAAGCAGTCGAAACATTCGAACAGGGTCAAAAACATCTCAGGTTTGAACACTGGTCTGAAACTACTGGTGACAGCAAAACAACTCCAAGTCACAAAACTGCAACAAACCCGTGCCGAGGCCAGAACAAACCAGCTCAATTTCAATGGCACAGCTGCAAATGGATACTATGCCTAAGATTTACATTAAACCTCAAACATCATGTTTGGATGTACCTCTTTTCAGGAAAGCGTCCCCATGTCCAACTTAGATTGCAGAGTGTCACCAAGTCTCGGTGTGGGATCGCGCCTGCTGGGCCGTCGAATGGCAAATCGAAGATGTCCGCACACAGCACTTGAGCCTTCACAGGCTGGCTACGGATTTGGTACCGGGATCTGAAAACAACCTCCGGCTTCGACTGCAAAAAAGCAGACAGCCAACTTGTGTCGTATTTTGTAGTGTTCAGTTGCGGTGGGTTTCTCATGACAGGAGACCCATGTCAATTTCCAACAGCCCATCATCACTGTAGCGGTGTAGCGGACAGCAGGAAATGGAACAAGGCAGCGCAACGCACTCGTAAGAGTGTCATTGCTCCAATCTACTGACCGTTGTCGTATACGCGACAGACCACCACATATGCCTTGTGTTTGTTTTTCATTTATGTGTTTAAAGGCGGACAGAGTTACGTATGCGTCCTCGCTTTCTTGGATGCAGCTTCCTTGTGGTGAGTTTGTGAGGGCTCGTGCATCCAAACAATGTTGGCTTGTGCCATGCCGTGGATTGAGGTCCCATCATCTGTGGTTGGTCTATGTGTGCAATGAAAATGTATATCGAAGTAAGTAAGATTGTGCTTGAACTTGTCTAAGTTTCTGAACATTGAATCAGCGTTGGAATGGGGCATCGTTGGGGTTGTCACCAAATAAATAGCTCCAACATGGGCGGTGCCTGTTGGCTCCGGTTGAGCACCATTCACCATTCAGAAAGAGGCCTTATGTTGAATTAATCCTAAATGGGGGCCCTTTGTCGGTACTCTTTTTGGGACTGCTGAGCAAAGGAACAAGCCCAATGGGGGCCCGTTTGCAAGTGTTTGAATTGCATTTGTGTGTGGGTGTGTGTGTATGTTCACGAGCCAGCTCGGAGGGAGAGCTCTATTCAGATCCTTTTTGAACACAACCGTTCGCCCATTTGGAGACGATTGGACAATTGGCAAGGCATGGACCGAAAACAAAACGAAAGGTCAAAGCTCAGCCTTGGGGCAACCCAACCCGGATTTGCAACCGAAAGGGAAATGATGCATTTGGGGTTCCATATCTGTTTCGGCTTCGAAGGAACTCAAAGGAAACTCATGAATATCCAAAAAGGAAACCCCACAAAGGAATTCCACAGAAACCAACGAAAACCAAAAGGAAACCAAAGGAAAATCAAACGGGAACCAAACGAATACCAAGGCAAACCCCAAGAAAACCCAACGAAAATCTAATAACCATGACAAAAAGATACAAAAAACCACCATCCGGTTGAAGGCAACCGGCCCTTGCCCTTCGGGCCGGGCAACCTCCAGGCTGGCGGCTTCCAAGGCCTCGGTGCTGAGGCGCTGGGCTTCCGGGGCGATGTCCAGGCCGCAGGCGGCGAAGCGCCGCGCCAGGGCCACCAAGTTCTCACCTTCGAGGCGCCAAAACTTGCCATCGCCATGCGATCGGTGAGAGAAGGGAAGGAGAATTGGGATCACCCCTAAGAAAGCCAGCATTTGCGGTCGATAAGTGGGAACGAGAAATGGAGTGACCAAGGAAAACCGTCCAACTGGTTTTAAGGGAAGGTTCATTCCCTCATTCCCTGAGCACTCTCAAGAAAATGGTGAACCCGAAACCATGTCAAGGGTTACCAAGGCGGCCGCCTTTCTATGGTTGGAAGTGTCCCGTACCAACCTTTACATACTCTACTCGGGTTTTGATTGTGACTCAAGTGGTCCCCTGGAATGGCTGTGTTTTTGTTTTTAGCGACGTGGGTCAAAAATATAATGGAACCCTGGTAAATGGAAACAAGGACTAAAACCGTCGGTCCCCCTGGTGGCTTGAGTTTGACCCCTGCCAATGTTGAGAAGGTCCCTGAGCAATAAGGAAAGGACCGCCACAAGGAGCACCTCAAAGGAAGCGCGAAAAGCAAACCAAAAGGAACACCAAAAGGAAGACAGCCAAGATATCACACAGATCGTGATAGTCCATGACTCAAACCTGAAAAGATGAACCTCACAAAAAGGAACTTTATGGTTTTTCGGTTGCAAATCCCTTCAACGAGTGGGCCGGGCCGAAGGGGAGCCATATGGTCCTAGCTAAGAGCCACTTGTCACTGGTGAGCTGCAATGGCTTCCACTCACATTCGGTGGGTCAGTTGACAGGGCCGCTAGGTCATAGGCCTACACAGGAAGCTAGCTTGAAACCCACTTGGGTTTTGCGGATCCTGGGTTTTTGGGTCTTTACAATGTACGTGGCCTTTACAATGTAATTAGACATGTCATCGTTGCTTCGTGCATTGAAGTACTGCACAGTGCATCTCAAAAGGTCCGGTGCTGGCTTCGCATGCGGTTGCAGGAGTTCGCCAACTGCGAATACACATACCTGGGCTGCCCTCAGATCCCCCGCTAAAAGTTTAACTTTAGTGGGTTAAATGGAAATTGCCACTAAACACTAAAAAGCTAGCGGATGGCTGGGAGCCACCAAGATACGTCAACGACTCAGGCCTCATCTAAAAGACTCAAATGCTGCCTAACATCATGCACAAACGCTTGGGACACTTCTCTAAGTCGGCCAATTGCCCAGATGTGCCAAGCCGGCTGAGTATGAGACAACATGAGACAAGTCGCCCGTGCCACAGCCTAGCTCGAGCGCTCGGCCAGAGATACCCGGATGTTCCTGAGACACGTGCCGACAGAAAGGCGTGTGACACATCACGGCACAGTCCATGTACAAACAATTGCACACCAGAATAGCACAACAGGTCTTGACTCCAAAGGGAGAAACCTCTTTTAGGGTGCTTTCTGGATGTACTTCTATATACAGCATATATATATAATATGAGTACACATGTGTAATCATGCGAGCACGGATTTAATTTGCTTGAAATGCCCTTATTGAAACAATGCCATTGTGTGCGAGGGATCATGCACAGTCAATGCGTCTGCGATGCCAAGCGCGACATGTACCAGGCCAACACCACGAGTGCAAGTGCCACACGCGGGGTCGTTTCCGTTCCAGGGACCCTATAAACTACCCCACTCCAAAAACCTGCCCCACGACCGCCCTGTATCATTGGGCTGGGACTTAGTAGGAGGATCGACCTCCATTTGCTTTAGTCCAATGGAGAAACAAAAACACAATAGTGATAAATTCCCTGTAAAACCAACCGGGGAAACTCATCAACAATGGATTTTAGAGATTTCACCCAAGCGGCTTGCAAGAATTCCAGCAGCTGCGACGCTGGCTGGCCGTTGCGCCACGGCAGCTTGGCGGCCGCATCCGCTGGGCATGCGCCATCGCCCAAGTGCGGGGCATACGTGCCCTCGTAGAAGCCCACCCATTTGTCGCGGCGCAGCCACATGAGCGGCCAAAACCGCCCCTCTGGGGGAGGGGGTGGTGCTTTGTTGCAAAGTGGCCTGCAAAGTATGATCTTCCCCCCACACCCTGTCATTCCGAGACTTTTGCCACACATTCCCTTATTGTAATCCATTCGGAGTGTCTTCAGCCTTGGATCAAATTGCGCATGGCCAATCCGCGGATGTTCCCTCTCTCTCTCTATCTCGCAATCTATCGCCCCTGAGCCAGTCACAATCGCATTAGATCTGCCAATCGTTTGCATGCTGGCAACATCCCAGAGGCCGGTCATGGCTTCACCAGGCGGAGGCCGTGGCTTCTGGCCCTCGTTCGTTGCTTGTGTAGGGATCCAACTCAAAAACATGACTAGGGGGATCGGACAAAGCCACTCCATCGAGCCTTGCCCAAACACCTCGGCATTCTTAGCAAGGAACTTGTGAATGCCAAGGCCCAAAATCCAGGCATATTAGTCTGCCACCACTCCAAGAGTTCATGCAGCGCATCCGGGGAGATTTAGTTGTAGCATGGGATATCATGGGATTACGAGCATACTTAGCCCCTTCACCGAACCCCAACATGCCATGGACAACCCACAGCCTAAGTGAAAAACCCAAATGATGAATAAACCTTCCAGTACAAAGTGTGAGGCTGCAAGCTCAACTGGTGAAGTGAGCTATGCACGTTTGCTATGCACCTTTCGGCGACCACTGGGTTGGTCTCTGCCAAGGCACCCGTTTACCCGGGGGAGGCAACCTTGAGGGAGGAATTCCAACTATAAGCAAGATAGCAAAAATGGACTAGATGAATGCACCCAGATCCCTGCTTCCCCATCCCTACTAACTGTTTTCTGCTGAGCTACTGCTGCTTCAGCCGCTTGGCAATGCCAGCCTCGCAAAGAGCTCTCACAGTCCATTGCTTTGCGCTGGACATTGCCTGGCGAACCCGGCGGTATGCAACGAACTGTATGCTTGTAACTGGCTTTGAAGGGAGAAACATGCACAAAGGAAAAATGAAAATTACGCCTGCCCTGGCGCGTAGGGCTGATGCAACCAGAATATCTGTGGGTTATTGATTGAATATCTGATTGTGCCGCATGTTGCTAACTCAATGCTTCATTATATGCCAATGCTCCTGGCGTTGCACATATCTGAGCAAGCTCGTGACAGGTGACTCATTGACCAAAAGGAACGCAGCTGAATTCTCCATGTCTATGTGCAACAAGCATGCAAATTATCGACGGATTCGTGTCAGAATTGACCTGAGTCGAATCCAAGCAGTTGGAAACTCGAGCTTTTGGCTGGGCAGGAAATGTCATCTGGCAACATTAACCTACCTTCCTCACGGAAAATTGCCAATTTGAGGGAAATCATCCGCCAAAAGGGCGGATGACAAAGGCAAGACATCCCTGCACAACAAAGTTGGCACATGCTGAGCATCCAAACGTTGTGGATCATGCTTTCCAAGGACACCACGCCCAAAACAAAAGACTACAGCAAGCCGCACGACATGTATAGGCTATATCAGCCTTGGGTGCTGCAGTCATTCGGTGCAACCAACCCACCAATGTAATCTGCTGCTATCTGCTGCTTGTGATTTGGTGGCCCAGCCACGTCACACTGTGCTTTCCAGGAAGCTGAGTCATAAACATCTTCGCAAGAAGGCCCATGGCTCGTCCAGGTCTCTCAACTGAAACATCTCGACCCTGTACATGTTTGTGCCCCCGTCAATATCTGTTCAAGGATAGAAGGACCTCCATCCCAATCGAGAAATCACATGCACCTGGCAGGAACACACAATCGCCCCCTAGGCTGAATTTCAGCATCCATCCACTGAATTATCAGCACTTCAACCAACAACCGGAGGATTCCTCATGCCTCCTTCTGATCAGCCCTGACGTAAGACAGCCCATGCCCATCTGGAGACAAAAGACAAGAGGTGGGTATATCTTTGTCACCGTGTACCAAACAATGGCTCTGGAGCAGGGTCTCCAGTCGACTCGCTCAATCCTGTAGTGAAAACAGCATCAAGCCTCAAGCCCTGCAGGAGAAACAGGGATTGGTATCAAATCTGGCAATTCATCAACCCAAAACAAGTGAACCACAAAAAAACAACCTTCATGCGAGAGGTCGAACACCCGCTAGATTGCGCCGTGATATGCCCAGATGCCCTGCCTGGGCATGGTAGCGTGCAACCGGAATTCGGTCCTCCGCCTTGGAGAAGGGACTTGGAGCCATGGACGCAAGTGACTATTCACGTTGGCGGAGAAAAACAAATGCCTTGGACTATCTAGAGGTCTGCTCACGTGACAGCGAGCTTTTTTCCACCAGCTAGCTACAAACAATTGCTTGGATTCTTAGATGAGGTGGTGTCACACTGGCTTCCGCTACAACACGTTGCGAGGAAGGCCTGTGTAGTCAATCCGTGCCTCATTCAGGTTTCGCTTAGCATCCCGCGCCACACTTGCAAAGGCTTCACGGGGTGTGCGCGCAGTCGCGGCAAGTGTGTGCTGCCATGATGCTCTTTGGGTAAGTGCACGCCCTTAGGTTTTGGGAAACACTCCCCTGTTTTCTCTCCAGCTCTTCCTACAATTCCAAAGTCGCAAACTATCCTGCGAGGCTTGATGAAGAGGGTTCAGCCTGCAAGGCGTTTGTTCTACCCTTGTTTTAGGAAGCTCCTATAGCTCCCTAATGAGCTGTGGAAGCCCTTTCCGATGACTTTAAGGCAAGTTAGTGGCTGCTGCTTATCAGTGTTTGGGGGCATGGCAAAGTAGGGGCAGCCATCCGCCGTCAACTCGCTTGAGACGGGATTCGCTTGGAACCCCGTCCTCAAAACAGGGAAAAGTCAACGGCCGCCATCACTTCTTTTGTTCAGGAGGTTGTCTTGAAAGGCTTTTGCACGGGCTTAAGCCAAACCAGTAGCATCTGGAAGTTCGGAGGAAGCCCATGTATCATTGTGGTGTCCACGATGGCTCTCGGACTCTCGGAAGCTGTTGACAGGCTCCGAGCTCTTTCGCGAGTTTTTTATTCGCCGGGCCTTCGACAGCTTTGAACTCTGCCGCTCATTGCACATGCGCCACGCTCGCCGACACCTCGAAATGGTCTGCAAAATAATTCCTCCTAGCCATGTTGCTGGTGGGTTGCGATGCTGGGAGGATTTTGCAAAACAAGACATGGATTCCACGAGTGCTTTGTTTCCGGCACATGTCCAGCCACAGCCAAGCGAAGGACCTCAAACTGGGCACCAGGCCGCATCGTCCACCTGCAAAGAGCCAAGCGTCAGGTTATTGGGCTGAATAATTATGAACCCACAAACAATGCTTCTTAGCACCCCCCCGAACCCCCTCCCCCCAAACCCATTTCACTCATTCATGCCCTTATAGAACCTTGAAGAGGAATCCATCCATGAATCTTTGTCAAAAGGGCGGTCTGAACAAGACTTCCCTGGTTCCGACAGTTCCGACAGTCAAGGATCAAGCGGCATGTGCCTGCGCTTTGCAAGAAAAATACGGAAAACTGGCACGAACTAAGCTGCCGGCTCCCTGGATTTCCACAAGATCCAGGCAAATGTCTAGGGTGTCCTGCGACGTGCCGCGGCGCAGGACCGCACAAGCCGCAATTAAAACCGCGAAAAGCATCTCACAAGCGTTTGTTTGATGTTTTGGGGGGTCTCCAGTCTGTAGAATTGCTGCAGCACTCAGGCCGTTGATGGGGCTGCTACTTTCTTCAAGCAAACACAAAGTCCCCACGTCTGCAGGAGCCCTTCCTTGTACTTTCTCGCACTGTGCACAATTAGACTTTAAAGCTTCAAGCTTTGTTGCGCAAGTCTGCATCATGTTTCAAGCTCTCAAAAAGACAGAACGTCTCGAGGACCTAGTCTGAGCAAAGCAAACCAGCTGTTTTTGCTGTACAGATTCTGTTCGGCACATTGAAGCAAGATCCGTTCGGGCAGGAAAGAGCAAACGAGAAATAGTGACGTCTCCTTGCTAGGTTTGAGAGCTGACGTGAGGTTAACTAGACCTCGGCATGTACCACATAGCATCACCTGAGAGGGTACCAGCACCTCTTGCACAAACCGGCTTGTTTCTGCTAGTGTGTGAAACGGGGCTGATTGTGGCTGACGCGAAAATTTCAAAATGCATGTGGGCGGTACTAATCATGCGGCCGAGCATTTGGATCGGCGTGAGTCAACATGCAAGTGCATAGCATCGTTTCAGTACCCGAATGCCACCTCGGTGCTCCGAAGACCCGATGGGCACAAGGGTAACATGGCCTATTTCCACCCTTGTGTATTGGTCGTTTAGACATTATTTGCCTGTGCGGATTATCCACCAACCACCACAATGATGGCATCATTGAAATTCCGAGCCAGCCCAATGCGCCTGAAAGAAGCCATGGCGATTGGCAGCATGGACCTTAGCGGAAAATTGGAGGGCTCGTCTCAAACATGAGCCCAACAAACTACATGGGATTCGGATTCTGTTTGAATTCCCATGAATCGCTTCTAACCAACCAAAGAAAAGCAACCTACCAAAAAAAAGGTTTCGGCTATTTTCGGCTTTTAAACGCACCGTGCAGCAACCCTGCAAAGTGTACCCTCGAACCCACACACTCACGTGAAGAAGTTGGCCCAGCAAAGGTTGATATTGGCGGGCAAACAATGGCGCAAAGGCCAAGGTTACACAACATCTATAGAAGAAGAAGATTCTGGTTCATGCACTGCAAATTGGGTGCATTTGACTACAATCCCTTGCAAACTCATGGCCCTTCCGTGGTTTGACTCTCTATGGCTGACCGTGGTACCGTGATACCAGTTTCAGTGGCTTGGACAATGATATGTCGCAAAAGAAAAACGATGGACACCCGACATTGGGATCCTCCGCCAGAAAGTTCTGAAACAGGGGAAGCTCCGGAGTCCAGGTAGCCGAGCAACATAATTTGGAAATGCAAAAGGATGACACTCTGTGTCAGTGTAGATCGCGTTTAGCATTTCAGCTGGATTGATAAATATGTTTGGTCTGGCGCAAGCATGACGAAGACAAGACAAGCGGAATCTCAACACCAAATGTCTGACTCATTGTGCACGAATGCCTGAAATGAAGAGAGTCGGATTGGAAGCCCAGCAGGAGATACGCAACATGACATAATCCCACATTTTGGAACATACACACACACCAATGCCATAAGGAGTGGTATCCGTCCACTTCCCTTCAACTCCCAACAAGTTTGAGCACAAGGAAGCAACAACAGGTGTTGGCTTGCAACAAGATGCAGTCAGCTCAAATGGCTTCTGAGGCATATTGCCGGGTCTGTCACAAACTGTAAGGGTCCTTTAAAAAACGCCAAGAGGAAATCAACCATGCTTGGGGGTCTGATATTCTGAGAAACGCCTGGTTTGAGGTGAATCTGGATGATCGAGCAGAATATTTCAGGTAGCTTGCCATTTCGAATACTTTCTCAACCAATCGAATTGGCTCTCATTCCACCCAGAGAAGGCTCTTCCCACAAAGGTGTATTTGTTTTTAAACAACCTTTCTGCACCCAAAAGGGTCCCTATACGGAGATCCCCGGCCCAAAGTCACGCGCAAATAAATATGTGGCAACTTGTGTTGTCCTCCTAACAGGGTCTTCTAATTCCCAGCCCCAGTTTAAGCGGCCCGCAAACCCATTTTTTCAGGACATCCCAGATCCCAGGGCCAACAACAGTTTCGCCCTTGGAAATCCTTGAGCCTAGTTTTGGTTGCTAGTTTACACTTGCTCTCGACCCCCTTCTTGCAGGCTATCACTTCACCTCCCTTTCCCCGACCATGTAAGTTGTGCGAAACCACAAGCTGAGCGGGCTGCAGCATGGTAGAATAGCTTCGGCTCGTGGAGATTCCTCCTACGAGATCGAGGTCCCATGAAACCGAGAAAAAAACACCTCATCTAGGCGAGAAACAAGTATGGGTCTGGGATCTTTGTTTGAATACCCTCTTCAGGTTGGATTTAAGGGACGCCAAAAAAAACACAAGAGATGTCTCGGCTTCTCGGGAACGCCGAATTTGACACTAAGCCTCCTTCCCAGCCACCCCCATCCTACGTTGTGGTCTCATGACGTTTGTCCCCATGCAGGAAGCATTCTGGTGCAAGTAGGAGGGACACATGCATCGACATGCTGGTAGGCTGCTCAGCTGCCAGGATGGTGCCAAAGGAAATGCCCGTGGTGTCATTTGTATATTCTGTATAATGCCTATGTCTACATAGCATGTGCATTTTATTGACTTTGCAAGCAGAAACGCAGAACTGTCGGCTACATCAGGAAAACCCTCGTCGCTGCGGGAAGGGAAAGCTCATTCCAGTTTGCGTGTGGCCCAATCAGCCAAATCTACGCTTGGCCTTGCATATGCGGAAGCCCTGCGGGCTGATCAGTACTGCTGCATACCTGTTGTTGCTGCAAACCTAAAGCCGATGATGAAACTTAAGGCCCCACGGCCTGGCTGAGTTGAAAGCTTGGGCATCCCAAAAACTGCCGGGTAAGCCTGAGCTTCCAATGACGTCAGCGACCTTCATATTACAAACAAGTTGTACGGGACACAAGGGGCCCGGAAAGGCCTAGGGAAAATGCTCAACTTTGCCCAGGTTCATGCATTGTCATATGTCGTCTTACAGTACTTAAAAAAACACTGGCCATAACTCTGATCTCGCCAGTCCTAAGCGCGCACCCTCCCATGAGCATACCGAAAAACAAATTGAAACATAAGCCCGTGTCCTCGCTACACGAAGAAGGCGTCTTGCTACCTGGCATAAATGGGGCACGAGCTCATGCCGCCTTGCATGTGTTTGTGGTGTAATTGGCTCCTGCACCCAAAAGTCCTCCAAATTCCAATGCTGATGTGCGTGGGCTTCCTGGTCCGCTGGAACTCCGTTGAGCGATCTGCTCCATGGCAGCCCTTCCATGGCAAACACCGGACGGCCAAAGGGCCAGTCCATGGGCAATGTAGATCTTTTCCGATCAAACCTACACATTGTTTTCCGAGCGCCAGGATGGAAACTAGAAGGTTTCCCAACCAGGCTCCGAATTTGTTTTCGCGTTTGTTTTTGTTAGTGGGGTTGTGGTCTCCTTCTGCATGGAAGGACACCATGGAAGTCCCACATGTTCTCGCGCTGCGCTCAGTGTTTTGCACTGCCACTGCCTGGGATCAGGAGCGATTTGATAGCTCGGCATCGTTGATCAAGTAGCCCAAACATCCCAAACATCCCAAACAATGTCTGCGTCCCGAAAGAAGGAACTCGAATCAACATATCTTACGGTACAAGTTTACGGTACAAGTTTTTTGGGTCTAACACATTGGGTCTAGGATGCTACACGCATGGCTGGCCGTTGGTGCAAGCTGGAGCTTCTGTGTTGTTGTCAAACAGAGCCCCATTGTTGATGGTGGGGCGGCCTCAGCTGTGAACTGCAGTGCTTATCAGACATCCTTGCCGAAGTGCTGAGGACCAACCCACGAGGTGCTTCGACTCCAAACACTCGAGGTGCCTTGGGCAGCGGTCAGATCCCTACTTGGATCATACAAATCTTCCCAAACCCGTCCCCAGTTCCGGCCAGCCTAAGGACTCAGTCCCGGCTGCAGCTCCAACTCAGCTTCCAAGCTCAACAAAGACCCAAGTTTTATTGCGCAGCCCGCGCAAGCTAGCCAATTCGTGGAGCAGGCAGCAACCCAAAGCCAGTCAACCAAGCTGCTCGGCCTCAATATGTTGTTTGTTGATCTGCGCTCAAGAGGAATTCTCCGACTTTTCCGCCATCTTGCTCAGCCCCATTCGCGCAGCCGCCTTGGCCACTTCACCCTGCCGCGCTCGCCCGGGCCCGGCTGAGCGCGGCATTGCAGCCTGCTTCCATGCCCCCACTCCAAATCCACCAGCTCACAGCCTCGCCGATCTTCAAGCTCATTCCAGCCACCTCGTTGGCCGGCCTCGAGTTCAAGTTCTTGGCAATCACCTTCCTCTGCAGCCCACCACACTGCTCAGCCCAGCCCCGGCATCATGCGCTCAAGCCCGATCGCTCTGGCGGCTCTGTTAAGCCTGGCCAAGGCGGGCAGCGCTTGCATTTGTCTAGACATTTGGCTCATGTTCAATGACATGCAAATCAGGTGTAGTCACAGGCCAAGTCAATCGGGCCAAAGCCAAGTCATCGGGGCCAAAGCCTCCCTTTGAGCTGTATCCCGGTGAAAGAGACATGATTCACATGCTTCTCTCCCAAGAGGGGCACCCAATGGCATCGACCCGCTACCTTTGAAAAAGCTCTGCGCCTCCGGCTCCAAGTCTGCGGGCTTCCTCCGCAGGAGCACCTGTCCGACAGCCAGAGACATGTCGCTGTGTGTTTTGTCAGGCACCCTTTCTAAGGTTCGTTGAGGAAAAATATTCTCTCTTTTTTTTTTGGGGGGGGGGTGGGTCGCACGACTTTTGTCATAAGCCACATGTCTTCGGAGTGGTTTCAGTGGGTATGTCAACTACACGGTCTGTTTCCGCCAAAAGGAGAACCTCCAGAACTTTCATTCATGGGTGTGGCCCAAACCCTCTGAAAGGTTGCTGTGTGCCCACAATTCCGTCTGATTTTGCTCTGCTCCTCTGGTCAGCTGTGAGCCAAAGAGAACTCAAACTGTAAAAGCAAACTGCTGTATGCAAACAATAACGAAGCTCCAGAAAGGGCTGCGTATGGGAAAAAAACAACCACAAAAGTAAAGTTTGCGTCTCTGGCTTCATTTAAGCAAGATTTGAGAAGGTCTGCCCCAGCGAACTTCTCATGTCTTTCAAAGACACGATGTGCCAACGCAGGGCCACCCGTTTGGCCTCTCCAAAGAGTTTCTCGGGATGCGAAGGATCCCCAATGAAGTGCTGCAGGAAGGGGTGAAAGGGTTGGGGGATGTTCGGCTTGGAGCTTGTGCTATTCTATTGCAACTGACATTGGTAGGCATACATCGTTCATGTGCGCTGTAGCAAGACCACTTAGGAGTCCCAACTCAGCAAAATTCGCTGAAGCTGTGACAGTCGAGTGATTAGGTTCGAAGCAACGCGTCGCTTCCAACAGCAGGACGGTTGCCGCAAGCCTGCTAAACAATCTAAGATTGCTGGTTATGGTTTATGTAAATGCGCATTTCTCTCTGCCCGCCCGGTGACGTCACTTGCCCTTCCCACCGAGCTTGACAAATCCCATCCCATACTTGCAAGTACTTGTGTACGATGGAGTGATCATGCTAGCACCCACACCCCTGATCTGTAAGCAACAAAGCCAATGTCTCGGGCTGCGGTGCAACAGCTTCAGCCAAAGGACATGCCCGGTCGTGCTCCCTCCTTCACCCGCTGGAAATACATATCATGTGATAAAGAAACCTTCCATCAGGCTCCTCCCGAAACTTGGAAAATTCAGCAGTGCGACAGCCAATCCAGCCGGGCCCACCAGCAGTGCTTCCTCTTCTGGGCTGCGCAAGCTGCGCAGCTCCTGAGGCTGCGCCCCAGCTCGGAGGCTGGATACGGATCTGAGCATATGGGCGCAGTAGCAGCGCAGCATATCAGTTTTCTGGACTGTCCACATGCCCTCCTCAACCGGAAACGGGTCCGGGAGACTTGAAATCCCCTATCTGCAGCGATGCAAAGCACAACTGAGCGGATTGAAGGCGTACGGTATGTATGTGGACTTGTTCGGGTGTGTGCTGTATGCGAAGCACTGTTTTGACTCCATCTTAGAGGACAGCACACCCTGTGAATCACAGGCAGCAGGTGGTAAAGTTGAAAGGCGTCCTCATTGTTTCGCACATATTCCTGTTGCTTACCTACCACATTTCCAACTGCAATGAGCTGGGTCTTTGTGCTTGCTTGCTTCAACTTGCTAACAAAATGAGTTGTCTCCTCATGGTGATGAAGAACTCATGTCTGGCAATGAGGCAGAAATAAAGTCAAGCGTTTCTCTCCTTATTGTGTGAGCTATGATGTTAGTTGCCAAGCACATTCTGGATGAGTGAGTCACAATCCTTTCTTTCAAAGTGTCTGGCGGTGTAACTGGCCGCTGGAACGTCCTCTTTACTTTCTCTCATCGACAGCATGTGCGCCCCGCATTGCAGACACCTGCACAAGATGGTTTACTCCTTGTGCAGGAGCCCAATACTGTAGCACAGAAGCTCCTTGAAGTCTGTTGCACGGGTGACAGTCATAGCTTCCTTTGCAAGGATCTTCAGAATGATTGGGGACATCTGGCCATTTCATTTTTCCATGATCCAAGTCATCCCCAAAGCAAGATGAAGGAAAATGAAACCATTTGTCTGATTTGATACTTCCTGGAAACAGTTGAGCTTGCGTGCCGAGAAAAATACCAAACCCAAAGACGGTCGAAGCAATTGCAGTTGTAACAACCATTTGCCCTTTGAATAGTGTTGAAAGGTGGGATCTACCTAAAAGTCAGCACAGGCGGCAGCTTGTTTTACTTGAGCCAGTATCACGTCGGTATGCCATTACCTATCAACACCCCCCGCTTTGCAGAGGTGCGTTGGTGAGAACAGTACTTTGTACATGTTTCCCCCCCCAGGCCTGAAGCAAAGTCCTCTGAGGTCGAAACAATGAAGACGTAGAGCCTCAGTGGGATAGGTGGCAAGTCATGGTAACATGAGGCCTCTTGCATCAACGGCCGCTGCAACTGCGACGCACTTGGACTTTTGCAGGAGCATGCCACTTGAGTCGGCCGACCACGACTTCCGTCGGGCAAAACACATGTGACTTTCATGTGAATGCTTGAAACTGAATTCATACTGTTGCCATCAGCGGAGGTGATCTCACGACCACAGCTTCCGCTGGGCAAAACTGAAATAACAGCCGGAGGTGGCGGCCGTGGATTGACCTACGGCCGCAGCTTCCGCCGGGCGTGCAAACTTGGCACAGCTAATGTTGCGGCATCAATGGATGAAAGATAATAGTTTTGAACATGACATCACCAATGAAATTTAAATGGTTACCGCAACAAAAGCAAACTTTCATGATTGGCGCGGGTGCTCACCATCCCCACGGGCCCTGACGCCATTGATGCCATCCAGAGGACCACCCATACCAAGAGCTCCAGTCCTGGCGCCCCGTGTTCTTGCCTTTGCCCTTGCTCTTTCCCTTGGCATAGGGCTCGGGGCGGATGGACCGGGTGATCGCCCTCCACTGGGTGTTTCTCGCCTCAACAGGATAGGTACGCGTCCGGCCGGAGGAAAACTGCGGGATTTCGAGTTCACCGGTGCTGATGGTGCCCTGAGAGTCGTACTTGATCCAGGAGGCCCGAATGAAACTGACCATGACCTCCAAAATCTTTTCGACGCTCCCTTCCGGGACGTATGATCCGCTGTGCCCAATGATAATTGGCACCTGCTTGCCCGGAATGAAACGATAGGCACACATGACCGCAAACTGCATGATGCTGTAAAATCTCGCATGGTGCGCAATGAAAGCCTCCGTGGAAACGTTCAACTCGTGGGGATCGCGCTTGTTGAGGCTGGGAATGAACACCAACTTCGTGCCAGTGTTCTGAGACCCTCCTCGATCGCGTTCCTCCCTTGTGCGGCCAGGGTCAGCAACAACCGCTCGGGCAATCCGGCCTAGGAAGTCAAGGCTCTCGGGGGTTAGCCCTTGCGTGGCGCAGTTGTAGGCGTAGAATGGGTCGACCGAGAGCCGGTCGGACACCTTTTCACACCCCATCCCCAGCGCCTTGGTCAGATGCGTCTTTGCCGTCTTCCTGAGTGACGCTTCGACGGAGATTCCTCCCCGCTTGTCGCCTTCCTTGAAGTGATGCTTGGAACGGATCCACTTCCCTCCGCCACCTTGCAGATCCTCCAGGTAGAAAACCATACCCTGTAGGGATGCGGTGTGCTCGAGGCGCACAACCTCGGTGGCAATTCGGGCGTCCGTCCATTCCACCATGTCTGACCGGCACTCCTGACACAACAGGTAGCCATCAATCTGTTGGTTGTTGCACCTCTTGTTCCAGCATTTCACGACCGGAATCTTCATCATAGTCGTGAAGAAGAGGTCTTCCCAACGTGGCTCACTCTGGTAGCGGTTCCGGAGGTTGTTCCAGCCGCGACCATACCCTTTCTCCCCCCTGGAGAGCTCGGGCACCCGTCGAAGGGTTGCAGGCGCAACCTGATATGTCGGGCCTGCAGGTCTCTCATTCGACTTCCCCTTCCGGGGAGCGAGCTCATCGATCGTGGCAATCTCGGTCACGGCACCCGGAAGCAATTTGCCGTTCTTCGTCCCCTCAACGACGGTCCGCCAATGCCTCCAGGCTTTCTCTGCGGTCAGGGTGTTTTCACTTCTGAAGAAGTTCGGATTGACGTCCTGGGGCCCAGGCGCAAGCTCGGTTGTCAGCGCCTCGCGATACCTTTTGCGAAGCTCAGGGTACGCACGATTGAAGTAGAGGAACTCATTCTTGCGGGTATGGAAAGCGTAAATGATATAGGCATTTCCAACCCAATCGGCAGACATAAACGCCTCATCGCTCGTGAAGAGTCGAATGCCGTCTTGCATCATGAGCTCAGTATCAAAAGCAATCGTGACGGGCCTTCCGGCTCGCGTTCCTGCCAGCTTCCTCATCTGCGCCTCCCAGGGTGGCGTGGGGTTGAAGTAGACGTGGGCTCTGCCTGTCGACTTCGGATAGCCCCCCGGGACCAGGCCGAACTTGAGGATACTCTCGGCCGACCTGAGGTCACAGGTGTGGTAAAGGACCGCCGGGAAGCCTCGGCGCCACAGGTCAGTAAGTTCGGGATGCCGCACCGATCTCGGGTACTCCCCGTGCAAGTACTTTGCCGCGGTGAACTCCTCGTCGAAGGAATACAAATTTGTCAGGATCGCCTGCTCAGTGTATTTCCTTGTGAGCTCGTTGTGGTGTCCTTGCACGGCCCTCACCCGCAAAGCCTGATACGGCAATCCTTTCCAGGATGCTTCCCCCAATGGAGGGGGCCCAACCATCACGCGGAATCTGCGGGTGTTGTTGTTCCGGATGCAGATCATCACCTCCCAAGGCATGACGTTGGCGATCCGGTCATTCAGATGCCTGACCAGCGCATCGAATTCCACCGACAGGTCAATTCCGCGAAACGGCGGGTGGGGCTTGCCGTCCTTGAATGCCCCTCCCCGGAGGAAATAGGACATTTTCTTCGAAATTGCTACCAGTCGGTAGTCTCGGTCCATGTTGACCTTCGGGACGTGCCCCATGTCCTCGACCTCGAGCCACTCGCTCTGCTCCTCGGCCGGGACCTTGGTATTGATCTTCCGGGTCTTCGCCCAGTCTTCCCAGAAGATCTTCTCTTGCTTAGGGTCTTTCTGCTTTTTCGACCGGGGTTCCCCCTCGGCGTTGCCCGGCGGCACCTTGGCCTTCGCAATCCTCGGCATCGCCTTCACCTGGGGCTTGTCGGTCGAGCCTGCAGCCGTGGGGTCCGACTCGTCTCCAATCTCAATGAAACCAGTCGACTGGGGTTCCCCCACAGCGCTCTTGGCAGCAGATCCGCGCCTTGACGGCGGCGGGGTTGGCGGTTGCTTGGATGTGCTGGTGCCCTCCGTCACGGACTCAAAAGCGACCGACTCCGCGGTGACCATGGAACCCATCCTTGCCGCCTCGGAATCATCAGCTTCCGACACCAGCTCCAACGACACCACCGTTTCCTGATCGAACAAGTCTCCTTCCGCAATGATGATCGACTGGCCTTCCGGCGCAGCACGGTGCACTCCTGGGGGCAGGTTCGTTGCATCCCATCCAAAGTCGTGGGTGTCATCGCCCAGCAAGAGCCACTTGTCCTTGTCCTCATCGTCGGGCACAATGGACAAACCGTGCTTCTCCGCCGTGCTGTCAATGTACTGGGACATGGCGATCTCAACGCGGTCTAGCTCGTCGTCGGAGTTCTCTTCTCCCTTGTCGACAGCCTCGAGAACGATCTCGGATTCCTCGACCGTGGCCCCCCGCATCTCGATGGTCATGGCGTTGTAGGACTCGTCCTCAGCCACTTTCATCCAGGCGGCCACGTCGGCGTCGATCTCGTCGCCCTCCTGGTCGTGAGACCAGTCGGGCCTCTCCTCCATCGCCGCATACTCGTGGAGTGCTTTGGCCAGCTTCAAGCATGTGGGCCAGCCAAACAGCACAGGATCAACCGGTTCACCTTTCACATAGGGCTCAACCCTCCCGATAGCTGGGAGAGCGTACCTGATCCGTTGGGCCAACAGCTGCGTGTTGATTGCCGCATGAAGGAATTTCGACACAACCTTCCGGTTGGCATTGCTGTATGTCATGTGCACGTCATCGTACCTGTGCGCTAGCAATGTCATAACCGATGGGTCGATCGAGTCGATCGCCTTGATGCGGGTCCCATCGTCGATGTCCCCGTTTGCAAGGTGTCGAAGGCAGCCGTTCATAGCCTCGTTGTAATCGGACGTGAGGGCATAGTCCTCGGCGTCCGGGTTGCTGATGAAGGTAATGTCTCG